CGTTGCCAACAGCCATATACAAAGTTGGAATACAGAATTACAGTAGTCAATACTTTTTTAAATTACATGTAAATACATGTAAATACGATATATCATATGCAAAGTTCCACCTGTCGTTGACTCCCTTGGTGCCATCCTGTGGCCAACTCAGTTTCGCTGCTGGCCGACCAGACTTCGCAGATCAATTCGGGTTCTTCCACTCCAGGCCTCAGTTTTTCCTATCGAACTAACATGACGACCTGCCATGAGTTGGTGGTTGAAAGACTACGGAAGACTACTTCCCCCAGTCCAAACGGTGATTCTCAGTATCTTACATATGGTTTTCCTTTTCCTCCACCGTAAAGACGAAGTTGTATACACAAGCATTCCGGACAGGTCCTATGTTAGTTGAGGGGATGGTACGCTACAGGTATGCTATGCCATGGTAATTCAAACCTGGAAGCGAGATTTACGGATATCTACATATATGTCTTAAAGATGTTTCGTCTATATATCCAATAGGAAAATTTTCATTTTTTAATCCATTACAGTAGAATGTGGGGGCCGGGTTGGGCAACCGGGTGTGACTGGATTCCCCGAGACCAAAAATTAGTTAGCAGTATTCCAGTAGCTTGACCTCTGAAATGTTTTAATGAGGTTTACGGCCGAATATCAGTCTGAACACATACAGGATCATATCATAAAGATAATAAAGTATCCTTGATTTCGTGGTTATTTGTCGTTCTATTTGCTTAGCGATGTTCAGATTAATTTTCGTGTTGGTGATTGTTGCTGGAAAACTCGTATACAATATCGGTCGTGACAAAGAATTGATTTTCAGACTCAGTCGCGCCATATCACAAGGCGTGACGACTGTCGCGACTACGACAACAGCCGCAGCTGTTCCAGACTCAGTTGCCATATATTGTCCTCCACGGCTTCAAAACGATATCATTTTCATTATGATTTTACAATTAGGAAACAAATTGTCCAAGTGGGGTATGTTAGATCAGAGGATATCAGAGGTGAGGTGAGGATGACCACCGGGTTGGGTTTTCATGGGTTTTCTGGATGGGTGCAACTGACCACCTACACTGGGTGGTTATGAAACGAGTAAAAGTGGAAAACTGTGTGATAACCAAATAACTTCTCTCATGTTTTTTTCTCTCTCTCTCTCTCTCTACTATCTATTATATATAATTATATATATGTGTGTGAGTGTGTGTGTGTGTGTGTGTGTGTGTCGCATTGTTTGTTGTTTTCATTGATCAAATCTATTGGTATATTGATTGATCTCCTTATCACTATCGGTTGCTTTCCAGAAACAAATCCCTTGGTCACCATGAGCCAGGTGGTTTGCAGCACGTTGCCTTCTGGTCCAGGACAGTTCTGCAACGCAGCAGTCCTGGTGGTTTCATCAATTTGGGACTCACAAAACACAAAAAAACATCAAAAAACACCACAAAACATCAAAAAACACCAAAACACACCAAAAAACACCAAAAAAAACCAAACAAATCGTGAAATTGTGGAGGGAATCCCGTGGGATTAAAAAATGGGTGAAACCATGGTGAAACCACGAAACCACCCAGAAGTCTGAAACACTTGTGGGCCAGAAGTTCGGACCAACTATTTGCAACAAAAACGTACAAAAACCATACGGTGCGTTGCTTCCATTTAAAATCTTGGAACAATTTTGCCTGTTTTTCTTCCGACGAAAGGGAAGGACATACTGCACATATAATATCATATAATCATATATAATCCCAGATTGTCGATGCGATTTTCTAGGGCCAATGTGCTTATGTCAGAAAGTTGCAGTGGCACTCATGTTTGGAGTACTAGGAAAGTCATCCAGAAATGGGGATGGGGATTGACCCAGCCATGTTGAGTGGAAACATCTGGAAACACCTTGGTTTTCCAGTCGCCTTTCAGGAATTCTTGCGGACGACTGTGTCGGGAAGATCGCTGGCGAGAGCTGCCAAGTGCTGTGTGCTGCCGGCTTCGAAGGAGGTCCAACCCAGCTGGGGGCCCAGGAGGTTCCACTTGATCGACTGAGGAACTTGCGATGAATGGATTCATTGCCACAGTCACCATCCAACTCACCAACCATGACGGGTTAGAACAAACATCATCCCATTTCCGGCGGTATTTCATAAACATCTATTATATAGATATGATATATCTATATATATATATTATATTTATATGTGTGTGTGTGTTGGGATGGTCTATTATTGGGTTTTCCACATTAACTACTAGCTGTGGATGTGTGTGTGCGTGTGTGCCCCTCATCCGGTGCTTTCACTCTACCCAGGTATACGTGCAACGCTGCCGGTGTTTTTGACGGACCCTCTAGCACGCCATGCCAGCAGCCAACTTGCCCAGTTGATCAATTGCCAAGCAACCTTGATACAACATGCGGGAACACTCAGTTTGGTGGTTTCTGCTTTGTGCGCTGCCCGCAAGGACGGGTGGAAACATGCAAACAGCAAGTTATGACAGCAAACGCTTGAAGTTTTTTGGACGCCCCGGCACAATGAGCAAATGGCTTGAGAGCAGGGGATCAATGAGCAAAAAGACAGTTTCTCCTTTAGATGTTATCTAGTCTACAAGTAGTGCATTCTTGTGCCCTACGCGAATACTACTCTAAGGGCTCTACACTCCGATGATTCCAATGCTCTTCCGAAAGCCCTGACGGACTAAGCTCCGCCAATTGACTCCGCACCACCAGGATTTGCCTTCGCAGAAGCCATTTACACTTGCGAGACCACAGGCACTTTCACTGGCACGCCACCAACTTGCGATCCTTTGAGGTGCAGTAGTGATGGTTTGCCACAGGATTACCGGCTCAATGTCAGCAGTTGCATTGGAGCAACTGCTGGGGAATCTTGCCAAGTCACATGCAAGTATGGCTTCGAATCGACCACTGTTGTGCCAGCCTCCAATTTCCAGTGCGCAAATGATGCCGGGAGTGATTTCAGCCATTCTTACTTGTATTTCATTGTATTTCTACATAGCCAAACTTAATCCATGATTGGATACGAATAGCTGTTGCTGCTGGATGATGTGTTTCTCTTTTTTTCTATTGATTCAATTTGATTTGGGGCGACTGCTTTCAAAATCTTTCAAATGACAGCTGCGTATTGTGACTCCTGGGTGGCTCAAACAATTCATTATTGTTTGAAAATAGGCAATAGGGTCCGTTCTATCTTGAGGGACAGGCCCAAATCATTCTCGGTCGCAATCATTAAACAAAGTACAGAGGAGGTCCGCACTTGCGAAGCCTGATTTCAATTGACTTTCCGGCCCCAAAAATGGAACCCAGAAGCGCACATGCGGTATCAGCTGTCTCCGTTCCCTGGCTCCAATGTGGCGATTGCGATGCAGCACCACCCAGGCAACATTCACCAATCCTTCGCTACTCCGCGCTACCCCGCTACTCCGTGCTATGTTTTAATTCAATCACCCAATGTAATTGACACGATATCGAAACGATTACGGAGTAAGAAAGCCTTCAATACTTCACCTTCCCACATCTTTCCCTAAGCAGATTCTTACTCCATCCCGTTTTAAATTTATACTAAGCTATTGATTCATAATGGGATTGACTGAAAGGATCACAATTCATATTCTTTCAAGGGGGGCCAACAAGGGGCAGTGAAGCATTCAATACAATCATTCAAATGGAAGCCGGCCACCTGCGCGAAAACCCACAAACTCTGCAACAGCAAGAAACACCTCAAGCAATCACCTACCGCCGCAAAAGGCTGGTGGGCCTTCTTTCAGCAGCAAACAATCAAGCATCAAGTCAGCAGACGAAACGAAATAATAAGAAGCTAACTTCAATTGGGTTCAAGCAGCAACGGATATGCACCCCGCTTGCCCCAACAAGAAACAAAATCATCTACAAAACAGCTTGCTCGGACGGACCCATTTCTGGGTCCGGAAAACCTTCTCAAAACCGGCTTCGCTCAAAAGGGCCTCCCTAGTTGCCCTTCCGGTCGCCATAAGCCACAAGTTGCAATTGAAACCAAAACATTGCGCTTCTTCAACCCTGATGCAAAAAACTAAAAAAAATGAACCTAAACACGGTCCCCAAAATGGGACCGCCTGGCGGTCCCACTTTTGGGACCGCATGCACAGCTTAGTAAAAGAACAAAAGAGAAGCATTTTCACAGTCCTATTTTTGGGACCGTCTAGCGGTACCAAAAATGAGACCGCAAAATCGCAAAATCAACAGCAAAGGCCGACCCGTGCAACAAACAAAAAATTACAATTGCGTTTTTCCATACCTGCCAGGTGAGGGTTGTTAGATTTTATCAGAGCGCTCTTCCTCCGCCTCCTCCTCCTCCTTGACTAGCTGTCCTCCTCCTCCTCCGCCTCCTCCTCGTTTCTCCTCGACCATGTCTGCATCAACTTCCAGCTCATTGCGCACTGCTGGACCTCAACCTGGGACAATCCCAGCTCAGTGTGCACCGCTGGGCCTCAACCTGGGACCTTCCCAGCTCAGTGTGCACTGCTGGACGTCAACCTGGGACCTTCCGAGCTCAGTGTGCACCGCTGGACCTCAACCTGGGACCTTCCCAGCTCAGTGTGCACCGCTGGACCTCAACCTGGGACCTTCCCAGCTCAGTGTGCACCGCTGGACCTCGACCTGGGACCTTCCCAGCTCAGTGTGCACCACTGGACCTCAACGGCCAGATAGAATGACAGAAGATATGCCAGATAGAATGTCAGATAGAATGCCAGAAGATATGCCAGATAGAATGCCAGAAGATATGCCAGATAGAATGCCAGAAGATATGCCAGATAAAATGCCAGAAGATATGCCAGATAGAATGCCAGAAGATTTGTCAGTAACAAAATGTAAAAATGTCATGATGGGGATAACTCGAAGTAAAGTAATTTTCAAGCAACAAGCATATAGATTTGGAACAGTTGCCCTTCCGGTCGCCATAAGCCACAAAGTTGCAATTGAAACCAAAACATTGCTCTTCTTCAACCCTGATGCAAAAAACTAAAAAAAATGAACCTAAACACGGTCCCCAAAATGGGACCGCCTGGCGGTCCCACTTTTGGGACCGCATGCACAGCTTAGTAAAAGAACAAAAGAGAAGCATTTTCACGGTCCTGTTTTTGGGACCGTCTAGCGGTACCAAAAATGAGACCGCACAATCGCAAAATCAACAGCAAAGGCCGACCCGTGCAACAAACAAAAAAGTTTTTTCAAGCAACAAGCATGTAGATTTGGAACAGCGGAGGTCCGCACTTGCGAAGCCTGATTTCAATTGACTTTTCGGCCCCAAAAATGGACCCCGGAAGCACACATGTGGTATCAGCTGTCCCCGTTCCCTGGCTCCAATGTGGCGATTGCGATGCAGCACCACCCAGGCAACATTCACCAATCCTTCTCTATTCCGCGCTACCCCGCTACTCCGTGCTATGTTTTAATTCAATCACCCAATGTAATTGACACGATATCGAAACGATTACGGAGTAAGAAAGCCTTCACTACTTCACCTTCCCACATCTTTCCCTAAGCAGATTCTTACACCATCCCGTTTTAAATATATATATATATAATATACTATTAATTAATAACGGGATTGACTGAAAAGATCATAATTCATGTTCTTTCCGGGTTGAAACTTCGGTAGGAGTCTAGAGAGGCAAGGGGGGCCAACAAGGGCCAGTAAAGTATTCAATACAATCATTCAAATGGAAGCCGGCCACCTGCGCGAAAACCCACAAACTCTGCAACAGCAAGAAACACCTCAAGCAATCACCTACCGCCGCAAAAGGCTGGTGGGCCTTCTTTCAGCAGCAAACAATCAAGCATCAAGTCAGCAGACGAAACGAAATAATAAGAAGCTAACTTCAATTGGGTTCAAGCAGCAACGGATATGCACCCCGCTTGCCCCAACAAGAAACAAAATCATCTACAAAACAGCTTGCTCCGACGGACCCATTTCTGGGTCCGGAAGACCTTCTCAAAACCGGCTTCGCTCAAAAGGGCCTCCCTAGTTGCCCTTCCGATCGCCATAAGCCACAAGCTGCAATTGAAACCAAAACATTGCGCTTCTTCAACCCTGATGCAAAAAACTTAAAAAATGAACTTAAACACGGTCCCCAAAATCGGACCGCCTGGCGGTCCCACTTTTGGGACCGCATGCGCACCTTAGTAAAAGAACAAAAGAGAAGCATTTTCACGGTCCTGTTTTTGGGACCGTCTAGCGGTACCAAAAATGAGACCGCAAAATCGCAAAATCAACAGCAAAGGCCGACCCGTGCAACAAACAAAAAATTACAATTGCGTTTTTTCAAGCAACAAGCATGTAGATTTGGAACAGTATATACGTAGTTGTTATGTTCTATAAATGAAGATACGCGCGGCTAAATGGTTGTTTGTTGAGTCGTTTGCCCCCCGGAAATCGTGAGCTGATATCCTAGGATGGAAATTTCTTGGCAGTGGCTTCAGTACCCAATTGCAGCCCCAAGAAGTGCTCGGCACCGACTCCATCAACGTCATTTGCAGTGGCTCCATGGGCGACTGACTGCGAAGGTGGAACCCATGCTGACCCGTGACCCATGATGACCCATGATTTGCCTGTGAAATAGAGTGAATCAAGCTATGATAAGTTATAATTACTATGCTATAGCGAGAAGGGGGAATGCTCGAAGCGATGTAATGACAAAGGAATCATGTGGTCTCCGTGTTCAGTCATATGAAAATGCTTCGGAGATTCATTAGCTAGGTCTACATGGTTTGATATGAAGATCATTATCATCACAGTCAGTATGCGAAACCCAAGCGCTGGGGTAATCAAGCAGTATCCAAGCAGTGCAGTGCCTGGGCTCAGGTGTTACCCATGGGCAGACATGTATGGCAATTTGCACGGCCGGGCATTCTGGATCACCAGCACAATTCTTGTGCGAGAACGGAGAAATTTTGGGCGTGGAACCCAGCTGCGTTCCACTCCCTTGTCAGTTCACCGGAGAGGTTCTGGTTGGTGTCGACACGTCGCCTTGCAGTGGAACGACCACAGGGAGCACTTGCCAACGACAATGCATCTTTGGGTATGAAGGGCTGGGTGATCCGGGGATGACTTGCCAGAGCGATGGGAGTTTCTCCTACTCCCAATTCCAATGTCAACCGACAAATTGTGGCAAGCTTTCAGACACGTCCCCTTTCAATGAGGCGGAGTTCAAAGATTCTTGTCAGGCTTTGAACTTTGGCCAATCGTGCTCAGTGCTGTGTGAGACAGGCTGGCAGATGCAAGGAGATGCCGTGAACATGGTGTGCAACAACACTCCTTCGCACAGTGCAGGATATGGGTCTGATGGCGTGCCCGCTGCCAACTCCACTCCACCCACGTGCATTGGAAAGACTTGCACTGCTCGTCTCCCAAACATTCGAGGTGCGACTCATGACTGTGAGAACAAGACCACCTTGGAGACCTGCACGGTGGATGCCGCCGTGGGTTTCACAAGCAACGGAGCGGCAAGCCTCCAGTGTGGCACTGATGGTGAGTTCAAGGGCACGTTCCCTGTCATCACGCCGGCGGTCTGCCCCACTCCTACCTTTGGAGCGGGAGTTGCCAGCACGTGTGCTGACAAGACCATTGGGGCAGAGTGTTGGGCCTACTGTCTTGCAGGATATACTGGAAGCCCACAGGCGTGAGATGAGGATGGCAAACGAGTCGCCATTTTTTTGCACCAGAATCATAATATTATGAATAATATTGAATAATATATGAATGATATGAATTTATATATATATATATATACATACATGAATACCATGAACCATTGTATGATGCACACTGCACATCACTGCAAAATATAGTTTGTATTCTATATATACACGCGTATGTATGCATGTACTTATATGAAGCAGCACTGGCTCTCAAGCAGGTCTTAGATGACTAGCCAATTCTTGGGGTTCTTATGAAAAAACAGTTTTTTTTTCGAACTATTGCGATGCAGAGCTAGAGACCAGAGACCCTTCCGCCACAGGCCTACCTCTGCACTGCGGATGTGAGCGGTGCACAGGTGAGTTTCGCGGAAGTATGGGCCGCCATGGGTTTAATTTTTGCAGTGGGAAGTAGGATCGAAGTAGTATAGAAATATTCGTGGATATTCTCATAAATTGGATGTACTGTAGTTGCAAAATTCTTCTGCTTTCATGTGTGGATTCTACCCCATTCATGTTTTTTTTTAATTTTTTTTAGCATTTTCCCATCATCCCATAGTGATTTGCCATGGATTTTCCCATGGCAGGTGATGCCCGTGAGTGCCTCCATCAGCTGCTCAGCTCGTCGCCTGGCGTTGATCGATCGGCGACTGGCCGCGGGCTGTGGCACTGCAGCGGCAACGGCGCTGGGCTTGACGATGGAATTCGAGCACAGCTGCCTGACGGAAAAGTCATGGGATGGTCGACCAAGAACTGGATGAGAAACTTGAATTAAAAATTGGATGATATGAAATTTAGATAAAGCCTATGTATGCTAATAATATACAATAATATGAAATAATTATATAATGTTGTTTGTATGGATGCCGATGCTTAGCTATTGCCTATCCCAACAGGGACCAGGGCACCAAGAACCCCAGGAAAACGTAGGTGAAGCCGGCTGAAGCCGTTTTTCGTTGCTGGTTGATTCTATCAGCCGCCAGCCGGGATGACAGCCAGGTTGTTCAGCACTATCGGACACAGAGATTTGCATCAGCCATTGCAGCTTTGGTTGGACCTTGAACGGAGATGCTTCCATCCTGACGTGTCAAGATGGCACGTTGACAGGAAAGCCGAAGGGCATTCTGTCGTTGGCGCAGATTGCTACAATATATAACAACAATTGAATGGTGTTTGAAACAACCATATCATAAGCGTGTTATATACTTTTATAATTATATGTTATATTATGATTTTTATGTTGTATTATGTTTGTTTTATAGAGAGAGGTAGGCATGTAACAAATATTTGATTAAACCCATCAAATCTGCAATAGCATGGAATTCACTTATTTTTGTTGCTGCGATTTTTCCTGCGACAGGAAGTCTTCCAAGCTGCACTCCTGTGGCCTGTAGCTACAACTTGCCGAGCGCATTGGGAGTGGCACACAGTTGCACTGACGTCATCGGCTTAGATTGGCCATGGCCGAAACCATCACCTGGTACATTCGAAACGTAGTATGTTCAAATATGTTCAAATATGTTCAATGACATTTTTGATGTACCTTCAATGACATTCAATGACATTCAATGATATTCATATATTCAATATATTCAATGGGTCGTTCAGAAACCGCTCAACCTTTCAAGATATCAAGTCTTCCTGTCAACGTCGTTCATGGGGCAGCATCCTAAGGTCACCACAGGTAGCACTTGCGTTGCCACATGCGGAGCTCCGGGCTACACCTACAGTGGGTCGCCTACACCCGAAGTCTTTGAATGCTTAGCCACTGGGGAATTCCAAGGACAGAATCCAAGCTGTGCCCCTCTTTCGTGTCAGAACTTGACTTTGTCCTCGCAGTATGAGCACAACTGTCGTGGCATGCTTTTCCAAGATGCTTGCGCCGTGAGTTGTGCAGAAGGCTACACCATTACTGGACCTGCTTCTCAGTACATTTGCGGCGAAAGTGGAACCATCCAGGGTACATTGCCATCTTGCACGCCCAATCCTTGCACGAACACCATTTCCCCCGAGATCTTTCAGACTAGCGGTTGCGATGGCGTTACTACTGGGCAATCCTGCAACGTTTCCTGCCAACCAGGAATGATTCCAAACTCGGCAGAAATGAGTTGTCACTCCAGTGGCTTTCTGGTGGGCGCACTTCCTTCTTGCCTCCCAGCCAAATGTCCAGCAAACTCAGTTCTTGAAGCTGCATCAGTAGCCCACAACTGCCAGAATGCATCCTTTGGGCAAAGTTGCAGCGTCTACTGCGCAGCTGGTTATAAACTGACCCAAGGACCCCTTCAGTGGGAAGAGTTTCAAACGCACATCGAACAATTACAGTAACAGTTCCATAAACTACTTTCGGATTGAATTTGCTCCAAATTGTTTGAAGCATGACCGAAGAAGCATATCTCAAAAGCTGAACAGTACATCAACGGTTTTGGTGCCCTTTGACCCAACAGGAATGATTTTAGTCATCAGGCAAGTAACTGGCTCACCAACCAAACACTGATTTATTGGGTCCTTATGTGATCAATGAATCTTAATTGATATCAAGATATATAACTGACTATAGATCGAATCTAGTCAATTACATTTAGTTTCTGTATGTTTCTGTACTTCCTGTACTTCAAACGAATCTCAGTCAACTTAAGATGAACTTCTTACATTTTCTTATGTCATCCGGCGGTTTTTCCTTGCAGGAGCAGGGCAGTTATGGCAGTGCGACTTAACCGGCGGACTTGCCAGAGCAAAGCCCTTTTTAGCAGAAATCAGGCCGAAAGTGCTTAAAAGGGCTTTGGCGGTGGACTTGCCAGAGCAAAGCCCTTTTAGCAGAAATCAGGCCGAAAGTGCTTAAAAGGGCTTTGGCGGTGGACTTGCCAGAGCAAAGCCCTTTTAAGCAGAAATCAGGCCGAAAGTGCTTAAAAGGGCTTTGGCGGTGGACTTGCCAGAGCAAAGCCCTTTTAAGCAGAAATCAGCCCGAAAGTGCTTAAAAGGGCTTTGGCGGTGGACTTGCCAGAGCAAAGCCCTTTTTAGCAGAAATCAGGCCGAAAGTGCTTAAAAGGGCTTTGGCGGTGGACTTGCCAGAGCAAAGCCCTTTTAAGCAGAAATCAGGCCGAAAGTGCTTAAAAGGGCTTTGGCGGTGGACTTGCCAGAGCAAAGCCCTTTTAAGCAGAAATCAGGCCGAAAGTGCTTAAAAGGGCTTTGGCGGTGGACTTGCCAGAGCAAAGCCCTTTTTAGCAGAAATCAGCCCGAAAGTGCTTAAAAGGGCTTTGGCGGTGGACTTGCCAGAGCAAAGCCCTTTTAAGCAGAAATCAGCCCGAAAGTGATTAAAAGGGCTTTGGCGGTGGACTTGCCAGAGAAAATTCTTTTTAGCAGAAATCAGGCCGAAAGTGCTTAAAAGGGCTTTGCCGGTGGACTTGCCAGAGCAAAGCCCTTTTAAGCAGAAATCAGGCCGAAAGTGCTTAAAAGGGCTTTGGCGGTGAACTTGCCAGAGCAAACCCCTTTTCAGCAGAAATCAGGCCGAAAGTGCTTAAACGGGCTTTGGCGGTGGACTTGCCAGAGCAAAGCCCTTTTCAGCAGAAATCAGGCCGAAAGTGCTTAAAAGGGCTTTGGCGGTGGACTTGCCAGAGCAAAGCCCTTTTAAGCAGAAATCAGGCCGAAAGTGCTTAAAAGGGCTTTGGCGGTGGACTTGCCAGAGCAAAGCCCTTTTAAGCAGAAATCAGGCCGAAAGTGCTTAAAAGGGCTTTGGCGGTGGACTTGCCAGAGCAAACCCCTTTTAAGCAGAAATCAGGCCGAAAGTGCTTCAAAGGGCTTTGGCGGTGGACTTGCCAGAGCAAACCCCTTTTAAGCAGAAATCAGGCCGAAAGTGCTTAGAAGGGCTTTGGCGGTGCACTTGCCAGAGCAAAGCCCTTTTAAGCAGGAATCAGGCCGAAAGTGCTTAAAAGGGCTTTGGCGGTGGACTTGCCAGAGCAAAGCCCTTTTTAGCAGAAATCAGGCCGAAAGTGCTTAAAATGGCTTTGGCGGTGGACTTGCCAGAGCAAAGCCCTTTTTAGCAGAAATCAGGCCGAAAGTGCTTAAAAGGGCTTTGGCGGTGGACTTGCCAGAGCAAAGCCCTTTTAAGCAGAAATCAGGCCGAAAGTCCACCGCCAAAGCCCTTTTTAGCAGAAATCGGGCCGAAAGTGCTTAAAACGGCTTTGGCGGTGGACTTGCCAGAGCAAAGCCCTTTTTAGCAGAAATCAGGCCGAAAGTGCTTAAAAGGGCTTTGGCGGTGGACTTGCCAGAGCAAAGCCCTTTTAAGCAGAAATCAGCCCGAAAGTGCTTAAAAGGGCTTTGGCGGTGGACTTGCCAGAGCAAAGCCCTGTTTAGCAGAAATCAGCCCGAAAGTGCTTAAAAGGGCTTTGGCGGTGGACTTGCCAGAGCAAAGCCCTTTTAAGCAAAAATCAGCCCGAAAGTGCTTAAAAGGGCTTTGGCGGTGGACTTGCCAGAGCAAAGCCCTTTTAAGCAGAAATCAGCCCGAAAGTGCTTGAAAGGGCTTTGGCGGTGGACTTGCCAGAGCAAAGCCCTTTTTAGCAGAAATCAGGCCGAAAGTGTTTAAAAGGGCTGTGGCGGTGGACTTGCCAGAGCAAAGCCCTTTTTAGCAGAAATCAGCCCGAAAGTGCTTAAAAAGGCTTTGGCGGTGGACTTGCCAGAGCAAAGCCCTTTTTAGCAGAAATCAGGCCGAAAGTGCTCAAAAGGGCTTTGGCGGTGGACTTGCCAGAGCAAAGCCCTTTTTAGCAGAAATCAGCCCGAAAGTGCTTAAAAGGGGTTTGCCGGTGGACTTGCCAGAGCAAAGCCCTTTTAAGCAGAAATCAGCCCGAAAGTGCTTAAAAGGGCTTTGGCGGTGGACTTGCCAGAGCAAAGCCCTTTTAAGCAGAAATCAGCCCGAAAGTGCTTAAAAGGGCTTTGGCGGTGGACTTGCCAGAGCAAAGCCATTTTAAGCAGAAATCAGGCCGAAAGTGCTTAAAAGGGCTTTGGCGGTGGACTTGCCAGAGCAAAGCCCTTTTTAGCACAAATCAGGCCGAAAGTGCTTAAAAGGGCTTTGGCGGTGGACTTGCCAGAGCAAACCCCCTTTTAAGCAGAAATCAGGCCGAAAGTGCTTAAAAGGGCTTTGGCGGTGGACTTGCCAGAGCAACGCCCTTTTTAGCAGAAATCATGGCCGAAAGGGCTTAAAAAGGGCTTTGGCGGTGGACTTGCCAGAGCAAAGCCATGTTTAGCAGAAAGAAATCAGGCCGAAAGTGCTTAAAAGGTCTTTGGCGGTGATGGACTTGCCACGGAAGCAAAGCCCTTTTAAGCAGGCATCAGCCCGAAAGTTGCTTTTAAAAGGGCTTGGCGGTTGGACTTGCCAGAGCAAGCCCTTTTAAGCAGAAATCAGGCCGAAAGTGCTTAAAAGGGCTTTGGCGGTGGACTTGCCAGAGCAAAGCCATTTTTAGCACAAATCAGGCCGACAAAGTGCTTAAAAGGGCTTTGGCGGTGGACTTGCCAGAGCAAAGCCCTTTTTAGCAGAAATCAGCCCGAAAGTGCTTAAACGGGCTTTGGCGGTGGACTTGCCAGAGCAAAGCCCTTTTTAGCAGAAATCAGGCCGAAAGTGCTTAAAAGGGCTTTGGCGGTGGACTTGCCAGAGCAAAGCCATTTTTAGCACAAATCGGCCCGAAAGTGCTTAAAAGGGCTTTGGCGGTGGACTTGCCAGAGCAAAGCCCTGTTTAGCAGAAATCAGGCCGAAAGTGCTTAAAAGGGCTTTGGCGGTGGACTTGCCAGAGCAAAGCCCTTTTAAGCAGAAATCAGGCCGAAAGTGCTTCAAAGGGCTTTGGCGGTGGACTTGCCAGAGCAAAGCCCTTTTAAGCAGAAATCAGCCCGAAAGTGCTTAAAAGGGCTTTGGCGGTGGACTTGCCAGAGCAAAGCCATTATTAGCACAAATCAGGCCGAAAGTGCTTAAAAGGGCTTTGGCGGTGGACTTGCCAGAGCAAAGCCCTTTTTAGCAGAAAATCAGGCCGAAAGTGCTTAAAAGGGCTTTGGCGGTGGACTTGACAGAGCAAAGCCCTTTTAAGCAGAAATCAGGCCGAAAGTGCTTCAAAGGCCTTTGGAGATGCACTTGCCAGAGCAAAGCCCTTTTTAGCAGAAATCAGGCCGAAAGTGCTTAAAAGGGCTTTGGCGGTGGACTTGCCAGAGCAAAGCCCTTTTTAGCACAAATCGGGCGAAACTGATTAAAAGGGCTTGCGGTGGAAGTGCCAGAGCAGGCCATTTTAGCAGAACTCAGCCCGAAAGTGGCTTTAAAAGGGCTTTGTCGGTGGACTTGCCAGAGCAAAGCTCCTTTTAAGCAGAAATCAGGCCCGAAAGCTGCTAATAAGGGCCTTTGGCGGTTTGGACTGGCAGGAGCAAAGCCCTTTGGTAGCAGAAATAGGGCCCCGGGACCGAAAAAGTGTGCTTAAAAGGGCTTTGGCGGTGGACTTGCCAGAGCAAAGCCCTTTTAAGCAGAAATCAGGCCGAAAGTGCTTAAAAGGGGTTTGGCGGTGGACTTGCCAGAGCAAAGCCCTTTTTAGCAGAAATCAGGCCGAAAGTGCTTAAAAGGGCTTTGGCGGTGGACTTGCCAGAGCAAAGCCCTTTTTAGCAGAAATCAGGCCGAGAGTGCTTCAAAGGGCTTTGGCGCTGGACTTGCCAGAGCAAACCCCTTTTAAGCAGAAATCAGGCCGAAAGTGCTTAAAAGGGCTTTGGCGGTGGACTTGCCAGAGCAAAGCCCTTTTAAACAGAAATCAGGCCGAAAGTGCTTAAAAGGGATTTGGCGCAGAACTTGCCAGAGCAAACCCCTTTTAAGCAGAAATCAAGCCGAAAGTGCTTAAAAGGGCTTTGGCGGTGGACTTGCCAGAGCAAACCACTTTTAAGCAGAAATCAGGCCGAAAGTGCTTAAAAGGGATTTGGCGCAGAACAACACGCGCGGAACCCGCGCGAAACGCAGACGCGCATGACGCACGGAACCCGCGCGTACTATTCATACTTCTAGTAGTAGTAGTAGTAGTAGTAGTAGTAGTAGTAGAAATGATACTAATCGTAATATTTGTTAAGTTGCAATTAGTAGAAATAGTAATAATATTCGTCTCAATATATAAATTTCTTGAAGAAATTTGAATGCGACGACGCGCGCGCGGAACCCGCGCAGAACAACACGCGCGGAACCCGCGCGAAACGCAGACGCGCATAACGCGCGGAACCCGCGCGTACTCATACTTCTAGTAGTAGTATAGTAGTAGTAGTAGTAGTAGTAGTAGTAGTAGTAGTAGTAGTAGTTGTTGTTGTTGTTGTTGTTGTAG